TTATAGTTGCAATTAAAGCTACATTGAAGTCGAACGAGCTAAAATTGCTCAAGAGGGGCCACCGATGAGGCGATTTAATTCCCATGCGGCCAACGCTGCCTTTTCGCGGTTTTAGGTAACGTTAGCAGTAAGCCGTTTGCCGTTCTCAGAGAAGAGCAATCCCAAATGCAGAAACCGGTTTATATAAGCATGGGGCGCCCTGGCGATACACAAAGTGTCAGTGGCTGCTGTTATACCTCGTCTTCTAAACTCCGTTTCCAGGTTTACGATCGAACCCGAACCTTTGACTGCTGCATGGAGTCAGGCTAAAGCCTACTGCATTTCGAATTTGTTCGACCCGTATATTATCAGGTCGTCCGCATTCAAGATGACTGCGAGTAATTTTTTTCGGCCCCCTTATTTAAAAAGGTAGACCTTTCAGTGGAGAATAAGAGTGGGTTTAGATTGTCCTCCAGAGCCAGGGCAGCTGTCTGCGCTAAAAGCGGATGGAAGCTCGGAATCGCAACCAGAACGTTAAGCACATACCCAGGGGACCCTATCTCAGCCAATGTGAGCATAATTTTATCCCAGAACACTAAATTGAGAGCTGCCTAAAAGTTAATGAACACAGCGTATAGTAAGTTGCGCAACGTGAACAGTATTCTGTTGCGGTCGGCCATCAAGACCTGCATGCTATCCCTGTGGAGCGTTTTCTCCGGAACCCTTCATTAAGATGACGTATGCGTTTTCTAAGTGGCTGTTCAATCTACTTGTCATAAAGTCAGAAGGCAGCTTTCAACAAACGCTTTTCTTATCTATTCCCGACATCACTCTTTTTTTAGGGATTACTAACAGTGTCGCATCCTTCCACTAGACTGGGATTGTACCAATACGTCCATATTTATTAAACAGTCTACAGTATGGTGCCAGAACGACGGCACGTTTAAGATGCTGATTGTCGACCCCGCCTGGATTGACGGCTTCTCTATCGCGTGGGCCTCCAAGACCTTGCATAAGCTTTCGCACTGTGCAGTCTTGTTGAAAAACATCGTGTTGTATTGATCGTAATAGATTGGAGATTTTTAACCAAATACTACTATTAATTCGTCGTATCAACTTGAGGAAGGCTTTCATTGGTGTAATCTAGGGTTTGTCTATACCTAGACGTCGCGATAGAGCTTGCCGTTTGATAGTCCGTAAAAGTGCAACTTGGACCTGCGTGGACGTTTGCGCTCTCTGACAGGAAATGATTTTCACCTGAAACTTAACCCTATCCCCGGTTACCTCTGTCATAAATAGATATTGGTGAGAATATCATAAAAAAGTTAGGAATAGATCCCTCAGCAACCAAAGTCCGCGAGTGTGTTGAGAAAGGCCGAAGCGCACCTCGACTTTGACTAGTCTACGCGGGTGTTGAAATTGCTAGCAATGACCCGAGGAAGGGTAGAGCTGTTCTAGTTCACTGACGAGGATCTCCGCCAGTGCGTACATTTATTCCGAATCAGCCGGCCGAATATAGGCTGCTACGAGGCTTAGTTGTTGACAACTAGGTGCTTATTCATCAAAAAAACATTATTTAAAACGGAGTTGAGTTTTTTGCACAAAGGTCCTTAGAATAATATGTCTCCCACGTGTCGCTGGTCGTACCGTTTTAGCGAATTTTTCACCATCAGATAACAACTCTGTTCTATTCATGGTAGCCGAATTAAAACTTGTCCTTGGCCTAGCTAGGCAGCTAAACCTACCAAAAGTAGGACACGTTCCTAAGTTTTAGGCGTATCTAGGAGTCGGACCTAATCACACTGTTGGACTTTATTATATACACCTCCACATGCAACAGCGCTAATATTTCCTAGTGTATAAACCATATGTTCAGTACAGTCGAGATACGTTTTTGGTAGCCATTCTTAATTATCTGTCCGTAGTCTGCTTTATGAGGTACGACGCAATGTATGATCAATTTAATCAACAACTGTCACGTGATCCTTCGGCGTAGGTTAATTGGCTATGACACCTAGACTACTAATAATAATAGCCTAACCTCCTGTTTTGAAGTGACTAAAATGGAAATTAGGAAAAGGACGAAAGGTAACGGGCATCATCGTTACTAGATTTCTACTGTCACCAGTCTGCAGGCCCCTCTACCCATGTCATGAATTTCAGAATGATTGTAACATCTATGTTCCAGATAGGGTATCTATTTAGATCACCATATTACTGTTGTATCAGCAACAACATTTTTCACGTCGTCCAGAGAATGCTGATTACGTGGCCTGGAACGGTTCTTTATAGGTCAGTCCATTAAGCAAGACACTCTGCTCATCGGTACCGTTATATCTTGGTAACGTTGTAATGCTGGTATTTCAGCAGACGGTATGTTTGAGTCAAGCGATTCAACATGGCTACGCGATCTCGTCTTAGATGCTCTTTTCTACCGCAGTGTCCCAAACAAAATTACGTGAAGCCTCCTTTTAGTATAAACACAAACAACACGTACGCTACTATACAGCGACGTTAGATACTTGATTCCATCACGACTAGTTCTTGAAAGTCCAATCTATACTAAAGACCAATAAAAAAAGACAACAGTATTAGCTAAGAGTTTTCCCCAACTATTTCTATACGATTGGCCATCAAAGACAACTTTATTTTTCAATGCAACACTTTACACGAGTGATTTATAATGCCGAAATATGAAAGCTCCAACTCTGGTATAAAAATTAACATTTAGTAGGTAAGCGATTCAAGCAAACAGTATGTCAGTACGCAACCGGCGCCTGTCTATCTCCAACTATATCATTGTTCGAGTCATCGGCCTTATCGACGATGGCAAAATGGGGCGGCCTTCTATTAGCATCATCGGCTGCCACATCATATGTAATAGAGGTACGTTTATAATTGAATATTAGTGTTACAAAAAAATAGATATATAGTTAAGTCGACTTTAGGACCTGTGTGGCTTCAGCAACTTTGCGAATAGAAGAAACACTAGAAGTCATATCTTAAGGACCGTCTTGCACAAACTACACTATTGGTTAACAAAAAAAATGCCCTGAAATTGGACTAGCCGAGTATTGACGTGACCATAGCAGATTAGAGGACTTCGTTATTAGCATATCATTTTCAAGCGCTTGGGTTGTTGATGGCACGTTTCACGTCCTCACTATTCATTGGTGCGTATATTTTTCATACATCTGATGGCTCACTCGAGTTACAGAAGACACGTAAGAGAGGTTCCGGATCGTGGAAGTTCCGAAACAAAAGTTATTTCCCGCGTTGAATAGAATAGTGCCGGCAAATGGTACTGAACACATCGTTCAGCCTCGCAGGAAAAATAAATCATCTCGCTAAACGTTTACATGTTTGACAAGGGTACAAGAAGGAATTATGTTTAATACATAAGTGTAGTTCTTATTGCTATTAGTAGGCTCCACTTTCCAAAAAAACCATGCGTTTTTCTAAGAAAAAAACAATAGCTGAGAATTTGAAAAATAAGTTAGTTGCTTACAAACTTCGTTAGAAATTGCCAATCGGAACATCACTCGCTCGTTGCAGGATTACGGTTGAGTCTTACTTCATCGCTTTTGCAAACGTATCGAGAAAATATATGGGGACAGTGTCAAAGTCTGAAGCTGCTTTCAACCAATGTAATATTTATAGAATGGCTCGTAGTAGTTTGTCGAGTATGCATAATATAAAAATAATAACGTAAATGCCTTAAGCGACGTGTCGCTTAGATGACCATCTTGGAAAATGCGTTACTGCCAAAGTTTCATATCAGATACATTCCCAGTTGTAAAAAGGTCTAGCGCAATACACTATTCCACAAGAAAAATCCGGCGGCATTAAGTCGCATAAACGAGACGTGCATGGTACGAGTCTCTCGTGGAAATTAGATGGTTTTTAAACATCTTCTTGAGTAACTGCCATACTTTAGGCCCCCAACTACCAGTAGCATCGTTCCGCACGATGTATCCTCTGAATCAAAGCTGATCAATGTCGACCACAGTAAATCTTTCAGTATGTCTCTGTAACGAAAACCACGAACACTGTAAGAAATAATGGTCGGCTCACCATATGGTGTTTTAGATCCGTAAATTGGTCGGGCGTAAATCGTTCGAGGGCTCTGCTATGGCCGCATGCTATAGTTTTGTTTGCTGTTTGGCCAATTAGGCTATATACATGATTTCAATCGCGTCGCAGCAGCTCGTCTGTCTGTGCAGTTAAATGTTTTAAATAGCATCTAGGCTTGAACTCCTAGGTCGACGGGAACCTATGTAAGTAAACACCTGACTTTTTGCAGAAGGTTGTATCGTACGATAGATTCAGGTAGTGCAATTGGCATAAAGTCGGGGGTACCCGGATTCCCTAACAGCTTCTTTAATATTGCATTAACAAAGCTCTGCATACAAAATATTCGAGGCTGTTGAAGGTGCGGAGCAACAGACCATTTGTCTTAAACCTTTCAGATGGTGCAAAAAGTCAAGGGACGTGCAACACGCTTAAATGCTGCAGTAAACGTTAGCCTTTGGAAAAAAGTTTTTGTCGAAAAGGTCGATCCTTTTAATAACTGGACTCAAAGCCATTATAAAGCGGCGTTTTCTTTCTGTTCTTATAAATACTATCTCCTCTTTATATTCAAATGTTAAGCAAACATTTGAATAAAATTAACATAACGAATTATAGACCCTACGAATAGCAATGAACTTCGCATGGGTCAAAACAATGCACCATCTGATATATATTTTATCTGATATAAATTCTTGGTTTTTTTACAGAACTGCAGTTCTACAGAGTGAAATTCTCCTAAGGGAAAAAAAGTGCCGCTGCGCAAAACATGCATACATCATAATTATTGCATTACCATGGTGCTGTTACAGGTATAAATTTTTTTTGCGCATTATTCAATGTTTTGTCAAATGTTTATGTTTTAAAATTTCCGCCATATTTTTTTTTACTAGGCTGAGTGAGTAAATCTAGCAAAGCAGAGAGCTTCACACTAGAAGAAAACGACGATACGTGGCCAAATATTTATTGGATTCGTTAATAACAGGGGCCGTTTCGAACCTGGCTAGCTTCTCTTCGAAGGTATGCTTCTTGACTATCCAGATATGAATTTAGTTAACCAGTCATTGATAGCAAATTTCTGTTCGGCATGGGAAACAGATTCTGTAAATTAAGGCATTCTTTTCATTATACAGTTAAGACTCTATAGTTGAAAAATATGGTCTAGTATTATATTTACTTTCCTCCAAAAACAGCATAAAGCAATACTTGCCTGGAATGCTTTCTCTAGGTCGAAGGCACAATTACTTTTATTTTACAAGCTATATATGTAAAGATATTGTTTAAAATTGAATTATTATGATCCTAGGTATCATGCCGTATTAGACGGTTGCCAAGCTCTCTTTCAAGGTGTAGGGAAAAATCCAAGCTAAAGTAGAAAAGGATAGAGATGTAGACGGATCTAGCCTTTATTGTCCTACATCCCAAAGCGATAGCTATATCTAGTCAATCACCATAGTTGCTTTCGCATGCCACCTTATCTAGTTATAAGACTATGTATCATGTGGATGTAAGCCAAGGCATGTAGCCAGGTTTAGAATGCGTATAGGGCCTCGCTCTGCCTGCCAGTTGAGTTCTGCCCAGGTTGTGTTAACTGTGGGTAAATTCTTTGAAAGACATGGTACATTCTATGAACGCACGCAATTGAAAGATGTTTAGATCGACACACCGAAACAAGGATCACGTTAAATCGTATGCTTACCCATAACAAATGCGGGTAAATTGTCAGTAAAAAGTTTCTCTTCAGACTAGTTACAACTTTCAAGCATCATTTACTTTAATCACAAAGCTGCTCGATGCGGGCGTGCTTTCATTAAGGAGTCCGGTGATTCGCCTGGCCGGATGACATCAGGCGTCGCGGACTTCATGACAGGGAGAAAAAAAACCAGTCTGGCAGCAGGCATGTTTTGCTGTCCCAGGAAGGGGGCGTCGACACAAGCGTAACCTTAACATGTTCACACAACTACGCAAGGTTACTGTTTCTCTTCAGCGATGGAGGATCGTGTGTAAAGAAAGGGAATGAGACAGAGACAGCGAGAGGAACGGAACGTTTGCCATCTCCCGGTTCAATTTCGCTCCGATCCAACGTCGACCAGATACCCCTGCTCAACCAACTGCATATAACAAATCACGACGAAGTAAGCTAAGAACAAAAATAGCATAGCTTAGTATTAGACACTCACAAGCGTAGGGCAGTACGACAATGTATTCTCCACATTGTCCACAATTAACATCATCTTTTTTGTCCCATGCCAGGTAAATTTGTTAAGAAGCAGCCAGTAGAACAGTAAGTCTTGGAGACGTAGGGCCTGCGGCTCGAGCCGGCGCGGCGCCTGCTGTTGCCGATGACCACGGAGCTTGTTGTTTGTTAGAGTACCGCTGTAACTTTGTCTTCGAAGAACCGTAACGATGCAACAGCAGCTCCAGCAGCCAGTAATTTTAAGACGTACGAAATGCTGCATAGGGCATTCTAACCAATTTTCTCGCTTCTTTCTTCTCGATACGATGGCGCTCAACAGGTTAAAAATGCGTGTCTTAAATGCAGAAGACAACACGGCAGTCCGGCACGGTGCTGTGAAATATGACGGTGTCGACGGAAGCAACCTCTGCGTTTATGTTCGCGTTCGCAGGACGCAATAAATATGAGCTAATAGTATGTGTTGAGATGTGCGTAAAACAGGTCACAATAACAATAACGATATGTATTGGATTACCTGATCTAATGATGAGCTCGTGAACTCTTCCTTTGGATCGCACGCGATTCAATAAATGCTCCTTCGTAAGATTGTCACAATATGGCTGTGCCATAAACGCGTTACAAACAAATTAATGGCTCCGCTTTTGTTTAATGAATTTTATATGAGTACACGTTGGAATCCCGGGTAACGCCACCAAAAGGGCCGCGCACGTTGGCATGAGCGTACAGGAAAGTTTAACAATGAATTCAGTGCCCCAGGCGACGTTACCGGCCATGGCGAGGACGCTGTAACCCTAGATGTGGCATCATTAACAACTGTTCTCGTACTCCCTAATCTAAATCAGGCGCCTAGGAACACCCTACAGCTGGAGCGCAGAATTTAGCATTTATATTACTTTTAAATGGAAGAAGTACCGTTACATTCGTTCTCAAAGGAGATGAAAAAATTAGACCATTGTGTTCGCGCGAATAGTAGTCTGGAGCCACTTATTAATATCGACAAATGCTTTCAGTTTAGCGAGATTGGCAAATTAACGTCTAAGCATGCTTAAAAAAATCTATTATTTAAAATCTAATAAATAAAAACTTAATACCATTGAAATTTTACGTCGTTCTGCCGATAGAGCCGAACATTGCCAACAAGATGTTGGGATAGACAGACAGTTACAAATCAATCATCGTGCTTAATTCGAATTTTCCTTCTTAAGATCATATCGACCCCGATTTTAACAGATTAGTGCGAAGATAACCTAGAAACTGTAACATTGTAATTTTTTTCTATAGATGTTAACCCTGCCTCGCTATTGATTTCGCTGCGCTTTTACCGTTAATTTTAAGTGGCAGTTCTGATAGTTCGTACGAACTTCTACCGTTCCCGACACTACCTATCCCGAAAATCGGACCAGCTGCAATTGTCACGAGTGTATTTTTCGTAATTGGCCTAATCAACGAACTAAATGAACGGTTCAATGAATGATTTAGGCTACTCATTGCTCCTCGATGATGAGCAGATGAATGAAAAATGTTTTAGGCCACACCAAAAATGCATTTTATCCTAGGAATCATATCTTGGAATTTGAGTCAAATATCCTAAGAAAGATATTTTGAAATAGCTATAGGACACTGTGACCTTCATTATAGGCTAAGTGATCCGTGAACTTTGTGGTCCTTTTAGACGATTGCTCCAGAGCCAATTAGTACATAAGTACTGTTGATCGAAAAACGACAATTTGCACTTCGAATCAGATTAAATAATAAATAAAAGCAGCTAATTTTAGTATAACGCAACTTGTCCAAACTTAACAACTTCAAAATTTAATAAAGTAACAAAGTGCGTGAGCTTGTCAAGGGCAATATTTGAAAGCAGCGCATTAGTTATGAACGCACAGCGTTTCTGTGACTTCGGAAAAATACAGAACCGATGGAGACCGGCTAATCTATGCCGGTTCGGTCTATCGCAGTACCTCTGCATTTAAACAGAAAATCAAAACAACAAGGTTCGCGCTAAAAGATAATATTTTCTCTTTGTCTATGAAGAAAATCCTTACAGCCAATTTAGAATCAGTCCTTTAGATCATGTAAATGTCGTATGCCTCTTCTATATATTTTAAATTTGTAACGTTGATTCTTACGATAGCGCCTGAGAAATCAACGTTTGAATGTTTTCCAAAGTCTTGCCACCGAGTGAAGTCACTCTGAGAACCTCCGTTATCCCCTTACATGCGAAAATTTAAGCTTCTTTTGACTAGCATTTTTTCTCATTTCAATATGTGCTAGAAACCATGCACAGAACCAACAAGAGAGGCAACAGACCGAAAGGTTCTATTTTCTTTTTTTATAATTTACCCTTCGGTTAAATCTTTGTTTGTAGTTACGTTTTCGGCAATCTGCGTTTTGAAAAGAAAGAAAATTCTGTAGAAGATATTTTTAGAAACCTTTAAATTCAAATAGCCGTACTGGGCGCTAGATTCTTTTTTAACAATACTGCCAAGTAATAACAGTCGAAACTGAATAGTGCTTAAAGTAGAAACCGGCTACAGTCTATTTTACCAAATCAGGTGTCAACAAAGGTGCTAAGGAGTTCACTATGATTTACTATTACCTATGACTTGTGTCGGTCCGGGTTAGAAGCAAGAAATGGCCAAAAACCTTTCGAGGTTAGCCGCGTACGCTTCTCTAACTTAGTAATTTTTAATAATAGGTAATAAACGTACACTTACATTGCGTTTTGGAAACGCAACAATAATTTCAATTCCAAGCCGGTACGGGAAACTCCGTCAGGAAAGTTTCCGTACAACTTTCGGTGTTTGTACCGTGTGAAGTTGTATAGATAAAAAAGCAAAAGTATCATCTATCCAACGATAATTAAATCAAATAAAAATGTAAAAGCACAAACTGAAAGTGACGGTGCATTTTTTCCTTAACATACAGCGTACATCTGTGACCAGTCTGAATACCATCCCATACATTCCAATGATTTATGCATTCGTATAATAACAGATATGGATAGAATAAAGCAGCAATGTTACGAGAGGAAAGGACCGTGAAAGAAAATCTAGAAAAAAATATATATAGCCCGCCCTCAACGTCTGTGACCTCTAACATCTGGCATCATCTTGGAACAGTCACACAGTTTTATCATCTTTCTTTGCTCGCTAACGCTATCGACCTCGAGAATATCGGGGAACAGATACATTTCTTCTTGGCCAAGTGTTGGTTCTCCGACTAGAGGAACTGCTTATTCGTTGGCAGGATTCGAAGGCTGGAACGGTGAAAGGTTGTGAGGGCTTTTGCGTGTGAGCGGACCGACAAAAAATAACGGCCAAGGGACACGGACTTTTGGGGTTTCGAAGTCGGGCAGCGGGCGACTCGTGTGGAAATTGGCGTGACCCTCATATTTCTCATGTGCAACAATGCGCAGCTCTAGGCAAGCCGAGCGAGACGAACCAGCCGCATCACTGGAAAAAAGGCTAGCGAGCGAACTGAGAAAAGGCCAAAATTAGGAAAAAGCCGCACCGAAGCCGGCACAAAGGGAAAAGCTTGGTGACAGGCGCCGTAGATTTGAAATATAGGCGCGGTGTGCCTGAAAATCTTTCGGCCTGAAACGAGATAAATGAAGGATACAGGGAGAATAGTCGCAGTGGACCGCGCTGGCTGCAGTTTCCCACGAACTCACACATAACATGTCGTGTGTTATAGCAGGTTCAGGAATGTTCAGTTTTTAATTGTGATAAATATACCAAGACTGCAGTGGCGTATGACGACACTCTTTGGCAAAATGAGAAAAATATCAGGATAATTGAAAAAGTTCTCCTCAGATACAGATCTCTAATTCATGCGCATGCGTAGTGGCTAATAAGCTCAACAGACAATGTTTCTTTGCTCCAGATTTTGATGCTCCTTTGGCCAGCGTTTCGAACTTCTAAAAACCTTGCGAAAATCTCTCTAATCAGGGAAACAGGAGCCAAAAGTTGAATTACAGTTGAGTAAGACGTTGGTTTCAAGCTTCATGGCGTCTGACAAGCTTCGCACTACATGAATTTATATCCGAGTGCTCAAATTATATATATACACAAACCGAAAAAAAAAAGTTTAGTACCAGGTATGATCCCTATTATTGCTATGATACGGATACGATCTATTTTTAGTAAAAATACTATTTACTATTAGAAAGACTTACTGTGCTAATTTAATAGCCTAAGAATGGCCGTTATGTTAATACGGTACAGCATAGGAGCCTTTGCCTACACATAGCGTCCTTAGAATTTTATGTATTCATTATTCGTTCAATTTATTCATAACGTCAACAACTCTTACTCGTTTTGCCGCATTTAGCTTATAATACTTAGATAATATTATAATGCAAACATTGGCTGGCTGGCTTATTCACTGCAAACCGTATTTCCCTCGAACCATCGACTATATCCATTCTCGTCCACTGTTGCTCCTGCTGATACTGCAGGTTAATGGAACTGCCTGCAGGATACCCACTTTTTGTCCCATGGACAATCAACGATCATTTGTTTGTATGGGAAACAGGCAGAAAGGGTGTTTCCGAAAAGCTGGAAGCATCTCATCGGCATGGATCCGTTCCAACCTGTCAAACGGCATCCACTCGAAAAAAGGTAATACTCGATCTTATGCCGAAAAATACCCACAAGTGTAACGGGTATACACATAGATGTTTCCACTCGAACTCCAGTGCTGGACAACCGCTCAATTAACAGCGACGCGGCTCTGCCCAGAGTACGTATAATCAGTAGAATTCCCAACTTTTGCAAAACAAACCGGGCCATATTCCATATCATCATAAAAAATGTTCTCAAAATCGTCCGTGTTTTCTCGAAATTTCTTCAGTAATAGCTAGATTAGCATTTTACATTGTGAAGCAACAGAATTAAAGGGATAGCAATACGACTCGTTGGATGAAAAAAGCATTTTGTTTTCAGACAAAGCAAGCTACATCAGCATAGGTTAGCTTAGCTAATTATGGCGGAAAAAAAAAAACTTTAAAGCAGCACCGGACACAGACTCGAAGCAACTATACACAATGCAAATATAATTAGTATCGTTCCGTATCACAGGCCAATTACACTTCATTGTGTATAGTTAGCTATAGGTACCCAGAGGCAGCATTACTGGTTGTTTTAGACTTTTGTTTCAGTCGTGATTCCATATATCTAAACCTATTTGGCATCAGTCAGAGTTATGCCCTCTCATAACTAGCCACTCTTACTGCTCGATTTCAGATTTGTTGCCCCGTTTACCTAGCTCTGAGTTTAGTCTTATTTTATGCTATAACAAAGATGTAATGCATATGTTCTAATGCTTTGTCCATCTAATCCTTTTGTTTATCCAATACAAGACACTTGCGTATGAAGTTAGCCGGACACGAGCGGAAAATGACTAACTTAAAAACATATCACAGCGGATCCTTGAGATCACGAAACTGGCAAAATTAAAAACTGATATTTTTATGCTCGTAGAATTTCTCGTTAAAGTTAATGGTGTAAGAGCTGAAAACGTCTACTATTATCTATTTTAGGTTTCGAGGTGTTCTAAGATGTTCGAGAAACGTTCTAAGCTACGCAAATGCATTTAATCATCTAAAAATTTACTTTCATATATATTTATATTCTACTTTCTGAATTAATAGATAATAGCTTCCGCCCAAAATATAATTTGTGTGAAAAAGGAAAGTTATGCTAAACTTTGCTACCCAATCAAGGATTCCACTTCGAAGCGAGATCAAACGTACTAAGTATACCATGTGGATAACGAAGATCTAATGAGATTAAAGGAAATAAAGTTTCTTTACGTCAAACGCTCAACGAAAACAGTAGATTAGGTAGAAAACGTACATACCGCTCTTGATATAACGAATGAATGTTTGTGGCCCCCGGCAGGGGGGCAGAGGGGACGCTCACAGCCAGTGAAACTTTTTAATTGATTGGCTAAAGGATGATAGTTTTCGAAGACAGAAATAAGAGCGACACTACGCGGGTAGCTGGAAAACGACTCCGCATGTAGGCCTTATACTTGTTTCAGTTGTTATTGTTAGCGACTATGTCCGTGGCAGAGTTAACTCACCTATAGTTGGCTACTTGCAATTTCTAGCTTAAAAACGATAGCTGCCCTCAAGGACATCGTAGCCCAGTAGGCAAAATTATTGCATCAAAAGATATTAGAAAGGCAGGCAAGCCAAAAGAGGAAGTTTTATTTATTATCGTTCGCTTGACAGGTACGTTAGCTAAGTACGTGTGTAGGTTATGGTGAAATCCGAAAGCTATGCGTATAGCTGATAATTTCCGTTTCATTTAGGCGCGTACGGCTGTTAACAGAAGTGCAGCAAGGTCCCACTAAGTTACTCGATGCAACTACAAAGTGCAAACTGCTCCACAAAATAAGTTGCCTGATATGTAATATTAGTAGAAGGAAACCAATGAATTCCGGCTTAGTGATATTTACATAATCGTCTATCTCTAGGCCGGATTTATTTTTACTTACATGCCCGCTGAGTCATTTACAAAATAATTGGGTGGACCGCATCGGGTCGGACGCCTTGTAAACAGCAGGTACCAAGGATTCTGTTGCACACCAGTTTAAGCTTACTTTCAAAATACACACATACAAGCCAAGCATCGTTCTATCCAGCCGGCGCAGACCGTCATCTGTTCTACTGGTTTCGAAAATGATATATTAGATATTCGGGGACCGGCAAAATCAAGAGATTA